CCTATAAGCTACTGACAAATTATACATACCAGATCAAGAAATATATGTCTAGGCAAGGTTTATCTGAGAACAATTGGTCTTTGCCCAAGATTTATCTACATGACACACAGTAATTAAAAGTACCAGACTGGTGGAACTAACCTTTTTGGATGTTTAAGAGACATACTTTGAGGCCTATAATAATTTGGTCAGAGGGACATAAAGGACAGTTTTTGCTCCTTGCCCTCCTAGGTTGACTAGTCCAGGGGACTATGAGCATCTCTCAAAATGTCTTGTAATGGTGGTAGGTCACCTGTTCTCTTGTTCAAGGAGGCTGAGGAGACCCCACCAAATGGACTTGAACCAGTGTCCATTCTACAAAGAGGAGGGTCAACACAGAGGAATCATTTCCTCCATGCCTCCAAGCGAAGCCAACCATGGTCAAGCAGGACCTTTGACATCTTCACATAGGCAGAACTGGTAAAATAAAGGAGCCAGGGTCTCCTCCAAAGCCCATGTGACCCCTGAGGAACAGATCCTCAAACGACCTTAGGAGTAAAAAAAAAATTTGTTTATCTGGGCCAACTGTATGGCCTTAAACACCCAAAAGGAAAGTATAACCAAAGATGAAAGGGGCCAATATAATTTCTTAAGAGTCCATATGCATATCTAAACAAGCAACAATGCCAGATAGGAGATACCTTCTTTTGAGTTGTTGGCCAGGGTGGCCAAAGGGACTCCCAGATAGTAACCCAGCATAGAACTGGGAAAATGAACAGCAGATCCTAATCTTATCTAAAGGAATATTGACATCTGATTGCTGCTCGATGCAGCTGACCCTCCTAAAACAAAGACCTCTAGATAGGCTGACTAGATTCACCAGATGAACAAGTAGTGGGGAATGGCTGGGGGTGCCGACAACACAGCAGATAGTAGCAGGGATATCATAGTATAAGGGCTCCAGTAGGGGGAGGGAGGCTGTGGGAGGGTGCCATCTGGGAAGTGGGTGTATAGTTGAATAAGATGGTTTGGGATGTTCTGTGTGATACACACACACACACACACACACACACAGAATATCAGCACTTTAAAAATGTATTATATTTGAGAAGGAAGCATTGAAATTTACATCATGTTAATTAGTAGAGGTGATAAACATTACCATTGAAATCTGCCCGATGACTTACATACACAGGAGCCAAGGATTCAAGTGCAACTGATTATGACTAGTAATAATCAGATACATACAGATTAGAGATGCATGTGCCAACATCTCAGTGTTAGTAGCAAAAATAATGAGTCTTTCTGCAAGGAACAATATATTCTAAATTGATATGGAGATCTTTTTTGAAGGTTAAAAACTCATTCAGTTTTATGTCTTACAGGGCTTATACGGAGTTCAATGTTGTATAACTGTATTAATTCAACTGTGAACCTAGAAACTTGCAGCCCACTTGTGAAAGAGATGTACTCTTGCTCTAGAGTGTTACTGAATGTTAAAGCTGTAGTGAAATGCTTCTTCTAATCATGTAGCTATTAAAAATTTAAAAAATAATGATTAAAAAAATAATAATTCTTCAGAGCATAAAATTTGCTCCTTAATAATCAGTAGATGTGAAAAACATTACCATTGAAATCTACCTGATGACTTTATATCCATGCTCAGATGCCAAGGAGCTCAGAAAGTAACCTACTGTGACTAGTAATAATCAAGTATATAGAGATCAGAAATGCATATGCATACATTAGTGTCAATTGCATTAAAAATGAATTTTTCTGTATGAAACTGTGTATTTTAATAATGAAATGGAGATCTTTTTTAAAGGTTAAAACCTCATTTAATTTGATGTCTTATAGGGTTTATACTGAGTATAATATTATATAAATATAATAATTCAACTGTAAACTTAAAAATTTACAGTCAATTTTGAAAGAGATGCATCTTAGCTCTGGAAATTGTTATTGAATATGTCAGCGCTGTTGTAATGAAATGCTTCTTCTAAGTATGTGGTTATTAAATAAATAATTTAAACAACAACAACAACAACAACAAACCAGGTAAATAGAAACCCTAACAATGTTAGAAACTATTAACTTGGAAAGCAGACTAGAAATAGCACTAATCTTTTACTCCATACTTTTCTAACATTGGAAATTTTACAAAAAATATTCATATACATATGTAGGCAAGACATGGTGGTACATGCCTTTAATTTCAGCACATGGAAGGCAGAGGCAGGCAGGATTTCTGTCAGATTGAGGCTAGCCTGGCCTACATAGCAAGTTCCAGGCCAGTTGGGGCTATTGGGAGACCCTGTCACAAAAAGGCCAAAAAATTATATATCTGCATACTATTCATATAATTAAAAGCTATAAAAATAGTTCTACATTGAGCAGTATAGAAAAATTAAGAGTACAAATAAAACTGGAAAAATGTTCATTTGATATTAATAGGGCTTTATAAAGTACTCTTAAATTCAACTGAACAAAATATTCTAGAAACATAAAAAATGGACAAAGAGCATGAATAAAATACCATTGGGATCAGTGGAAAGTACCCATATGAAAAAAATTACTTGAGACCAGGAGTTTGAAGAAAGCCTGGGCATCATAGTGAGATACCATTGGAAAAACCTCAATTAAGAATGTAAATGAAGAAAAGGTTCAGCATTATTAAATAATTGAAGAAATGAAAATTAAGACATTTTTCATCTGTAACTCATGGAAATCTTAACTACATTAGCAGAATAAAGAAGCATCAAACCTGGGTAATTGTAAACTGGAGGTTTGGTGGGATGAGTAGGCTTGGGACCTAGAAAAGTAAATTGGAGTTTATCAATTCACTAGACTTGCCAATATAAAATTATGGATTTACTTCTGATACTGAAATTTTTTTAAAGATTAATTATCAAAGTGAAAAATATACTTTCTGTGCCTTATAATTCTACTTCTAGGAATTTAACCTATGAATATATTTGACTACATATATAATTAGATATACACGGATGTGTGGATAAGAATGCTCACTATAACCTTATATTTGAATCTTAGAAGGTAATTAGCTAAAAAGTTATAAAAATAATGTAATTGAGGTAAACATATACATCCTAAACAAATCAGATGCTGTACAGTTGGCATAATTATCTCTCCACCTTTCACATTAACACCTTCAGATCCATGGGACCATCTTCAGACCTACTATAACACCTTCAAACCCGTCTAATATACCTTCAGACCAATTGTAAAACCTTCAGACCTACCATAATACCTTCAAACCAATCAGACCAGTCATAACATCTTCAGACCCACCATAACACCAGTGCTGTCTGCCAGTGCTACTTCTAATGCATGTCTTTCCCTAACATGATAAAAAATGACTGACAGTCATATGAAGAATTTTTTTATGTTACAAAATGATTCATCTAGTTTACCTTCTGATTTTGCTTTTTATTTGGTGGTGGTGTTTTGTTTTTGAGACAGGGTTTCACTATATAACTCTAGGTGGCCTGGAACTCTATATATCAAACATACAGGGATCAACTTGCCTCTGCCTCCTGACTACTGGAGTTAAAGCCATGTACTACCAAGGCCTAGGTTCCCTTCTTTGTGAACTTCTTCTAATGTTTCTTGTTTTTCCAGTAATAAGCTAAGTTAGTGTTTTATTAATCCTTTATCAAATGCCTAGAGACATAGCACATAGTACCATAGTCCACCATGGTAGGACATGTAAGCAAATAGACTATAAATTCCACAGGAGAGAATCACACTTGTGTTCATCAGCGTGCCACTAAAAAACTGTCTCCCCTTACTCCACAATACTCGACTGAGAAAGCTGCCAAGAGGTACCAAGTTCTGGGAATTGTAAAAAGCTATTCTAGAGGTAGTGGTGAATGCCTTTAAATCCCAGCACTTGTGGGGGCAGAGGCAGGTGAATCTCTGTGAGTTGGAGGCCAGCCTGGTTTACATAACAAGTTCTAGGCTAGTCAGGGCTACACAGCAAGACCCTGCCTCAAAAAAAAAAAAAAAAAAAAAAAAAAGGACATTTCCCCCACCTTCCAAAAACAAAAGTTAAAAAAAAAAAAAAAAAAAAAAAAAAAAAAGGTGCAATTCTCCCCATCTTTTAGAATGTTAAAGAGATAGGAGTTACTTAAGTTAGAACCAGTAATTGAGATTTTTCTTGAGTTCAATATCCTCATTAAGCCTCATTAAGTTCACAGAAATGAAGTCAGTTGAGTTAGGCAGAGCCAACCTGCGCACAGTCTACGCTGCTTAAATGCTCTTATTCCGTGTCTCTGGCTTTTGCTGCTCCAAAGTGGAGCCACAGTGAAGAGCACTGAAGTGGGGAGGATAGTTCCTTCCATCCATAGTAAGGCACCTCCATGATTAACAGCAATTGATCAGGAATCTCTGCAAGAAATCTATTTCATTTCAGTAATAAAGATTCAGTAATAAAGATTTCCCACCTCTCAGTTGCTATGAAATCTAATTTCTGTTGTCAAAACCGCCTAGTGAAGACAAAAGCAAATAAAATCAGCAGGGCATGGTGATGTACAACTTTAATCCTAGCACTCAGGAGGCAGACACAGGCAAATAAATTCCAGGCCAACCTGGTCTACATAGTGAGTTTCAGACCAGCTGGGGCTACATAGTGAGACTGTGTCTCAAATAAAATAAAATAACTAAATAAATAACTAAATAAATACCATTTTTAAGTAGGTCAGGGGAGGAAGAAGAAGTGGAAAATACAGGTGTTCTGACAATAGCAGAAATTTCTGTTTATATGCACTGTTTATTGAAAAACTGGAAGAGTTCATGCCTGTAATCCCAGCACTCAGAGACTGAGGTAGGAGTATTGTGACTTCAAAATCACTACACACCAGACCCTATCTCAAAACAACAACAACAAAAAAGCAAAAACCCCAATCTAGAAAGATGAGGAAAAGGGTCAACAGATTTCTTGAAAAAAAATAAAGTAGCAAGGCCGAGAACAGACAACATTAACAGACAGACGTCAAAGACTTTCCTTTTCTCTAAGATTAATCCAAGCAGTGAAGCTACCAGCTACCTCTAAAAGCTTCCTGCATACCAGGTATTGTGCTAAGTCCTTTAAAAGATCGCCCTTAAGTCTTGTACCTAGTAAGGAAGGTACTAAACCATTTTACACATTTAAAGTTGGCATAACTTTCCTAAGTTCACATTCCTATTCATGTGTGGGCAGAGCAATGGCAAATAAAACCTTAGAGTCACTATGTTTAACAAACAAAACAGCTGCAAATACAGTCTTTCTCCTCAGACTACTAAAAATGGTGAGTAAGTAGATATCACCCAGGAATTTAAAGGATATCTGAAAAGATCATCAGAAATTTAAATTTTTTTTGAAAAATACGTAACAGGAAATTACTGAACCCAAGACAGATTTTGTCTGGGAGGAGCCGACAGTAGAAAACAAAACAGCAACGTAGATTGGGTCAGACACAGTTCTTACTGGCATTTCCACCAGGAATTTAAATGATTTTAGGAAAAATTGAAGTTACTAAACCCGAATAACTCGAAGCTGGAGTTTTTATACTGGGGTAGATCACAATGGAAAACAAAATAGTGTAACTTAGGCCAACCTTTCACTACCATCAGCCGTACGTTTCCTTCTTGACTTTATTTTATGATACCAATCATGCTTTAATTTAGTTGCAGTTCACTTTTTATATACAAATATTCCTAATAAGAGAACTTACATACTGCCATGCTCTACATAACAAGCTAAAATCCTTAGAAAAGCAAAAATCACAGCACCAGAATTTTATGTCGTACAAATGACACAGAAATGAACCCAAGTCCGAGTTGGATGCTAACACTGCTGCTCTTCAGGTTTTCTGTATAATGAAAATACAAGCAAGCAAGCAACATCAAAAAAAAAAAAAAAATCAAGAAGGGAAACAAGACAACTTTTGTACCTTTAAGACATGTGGGGATGCCAGGTTCCCAAGTGCTGTTAGCACCGCAGACCACTCTTTCACTGCCATTCATGTAAAAGCCCTGCACGCACTCTAATATCACTGTTGCTTCATAGGAAAACTTTTCTCCAAATCCTGCTATCTGTCTTCCATTTTCAAGTACTGGATGTGGGCATTTTACCACTGAAAAGAGGAAAAAGAATCCCAGAATTTGATGGAAATATGGTTTAAAACAGGATAAAAAAAACTAGCATGAAGTATTAATTTCAGTGGGAATAAGATACAAGGAATAAAGTACAGGCTATTTCAAAACTAACAAAAATGATTTTACATGTTTAAAATGTTAATATGTAGGACTTTAATTTCAGATAAAGAAATTGAGCAAAACATAGTAATTCTTGACCTTCACTGATCTCCATTGTTGACAATATTTGAGAAACATCTGACTATAAGGCACATTTATATGCGGTTCAAAACAACTTTTGATAATTTACCTTCAAGAATCATTTTTAAGGTCCTATTGATTCAGATAACAGTAACCTGCTTTTTTAAAGTGGTAAGAAAATAAACGTTTTTCTAAAAAGGTAATATATTTGAGGCACAAATTTGAAAGCTGGGGGAAAATAAAAAATACTAGTTACCCAAAGACCCAGGTTCGAATCCTAGCACCCGCATGGCAGCGAACAACTGTCCGTAACTCCAGTACCAGGGGATCCAACGGCCTCTTCTGTCCTCTGTGGGTAACTGCATGATATGGGTGCACTTACCTACATGCAGGCAATACACTCATACACATAAAATAAAAATAATAAAATGATTTTTAAAATGTTAAAAAAAAGATCATATCAGGCTGGAGAGATTCCAGTTCCAGAGGCTCCAATGGCCTCTTCTGACCTCCGTGGGCACTGCACGACATGGATGCCCTTACACACATGTACTCATATATATAAAAAATAAATAAATAAATAAAAATTTAAAAGGAAGAATATGAAAACTGTCAACAACAAAAATGTTTTTAAAGTTCATATTGATACTCAGCTTATGCCAGTACACATGGATAGTTTTCATTCTTCTCTAATTCTTAAGACATAAAATGTATTACAGTCTATTAGATTGATTCACAATTCACTGATAGTTTAGGAGAATTGTGGGAATGTGGCAAAAATGACTATGCTGGGCACAGTGAAATCTGAGCAGCAGATAGTACCAAATTGAATTCGGCCTGTTAAACTCAAGTGCACTTCCTGTTTCCCATGGACCTGAACCCCCACCTGGTGTCATTTCTTTTCAGTCCAGAGTTTCCATTAGCCATTCTTACAGGTTGGTTAGTGAGGTTCTCAAGCTTTTGTTTAAATGGTTTCACTTATTTTATCTTTTGTCTTGAAAGGTTTCTTCATTGTTTTGTTTTGTTGTTTGGTTTTGGTTTGTTTTAGTTTAGTTTGGCTTGGTTTGAGACAGGATCTTCTTGTAGTACCAGAACTGGCCTGGAATTCACTATATAGACCAGGTTGGCCTCAATCTCACAGAGGTCTGTCTGCTTCTGCCTCCCAAGTGCTAGGAGTAAAGGTGTACCTGACTGAAAGGCTTCTTTTTGATAAAGGATTATAGATTAAGTATTTCACTTTTTTAGTATCTAATAGATATTGTTGTCTCCTCAATTAAGAAAAACCACTGTCATTCTTAATAACCACCCCCACCCCCAGTATTAGCTGCTGTTGTTGTTTTCTGTTACTGACTGCTGGTTTGGGGGCTTTGGTTTTTGGTTATTTGTTTTGTTTTTTTCAGTAGCTCTAGCAAACTTTGAAAACCTACCCAACTGCTGTGATTTTTTTTGTGTGTGTATAAAAGTGTTTCACATGCATGTATGTAAGTGTGCCTATGTCATATAATGTCTGTGGAGGCCAGAAGAGGGCACAGGATCCCTTGGATCTGGAGTTATGGAGGATTGTTACTGTGTGTGCTGGGAACCAAACCTGTGTTTGAAGTTCAGCCATTCTGTGGCATTTTGTGGTATCTCAAGGAGTTTTCAGAGACAGTTATTGTTTGCTTCTTTTTCTCATGCCTTATCGTACTTGGCAGGACCGCCAGTACAGTGCAGCACAGTGCTGGATATGGATATGAGAGTGGGCATCTTTACCTCAATTTAAAATATTTTATTACTTTTATGTGTATGAGTGTACTGTCTGCATGTATGTAAGTGCACCCATGTATGCAATACATGGTCAGAAGAGAGTGTTGAATTCCCCTGGAACTGGAGTTATGGATGGTTGTTATCTGCCATGTGGGTGCTGGGAATTGAACCTGGGTCCTCTGCGAGCAGTGCTCTTAACCACTGAGCCATCTCTCCAGCCCCAATTTTTGCCTTTAATTTTAACTAGACCTTTTCGTAATTAAGAAGAAAGTGAGTCTTTTACCATTACATGTCATATTGGCTACATTTGTCAATCTGACTCTAGGTTATCTACTTTACCCATCTTCTCCAAGAACCAGCTGCTGGTTTCACTAATTTTTCTCTTTTCCCTCTTTTCATTTTCATTGATGTTTCGTTGATGTCTGCTTTATTTTATCATTTCCTTGCACTTTCTATTTGGGGTTTAATTTGCACTTTAGTTTCTTACAGTGAAAGCCTAGGTCCCTGATTTACAGCTTTTCTTTTTCTAATGCAAACATTTCATGCTGTGAATTTCTCTTGAAGCAATATCTCAGCTGAATGTGGCAAATTCTGATATTCTAAGTTGGTCTCACTGTTACTTAATTCAAACACTTCCTAATTTTCCCCCTCACTTCATTACCAACGGGTTATTTAGAAGTGTTTTGTATAATTTTAATTATTTGGGGATTTCTTATTACCTTTATTGGTTTCTTCTTTTATTCCTTGATATCAGGTAATGTACTTTCAATTACTAGTTTTTAATATTTCTTAAAATTGTGGTGGTACATGCCTTTAATCCCAGCACTCTAGAGAGGCAGAGGAAGGAGGATCCCTGTAAGTTTGAAACAGGCTTGGTCTACATAGAAAGTTTCAGGCCAGCAGGACTACAGTGAGACCCTGTCTCAAAACAAACAAACAAACAAACACGCATGCACACATGCACACAAGCAAGCAAACAAAATTTTCTTAGTGTCTAAACTGTTTTCTACTTTTTCCATGTGTACTTGGAAAGAGACATTTGCTGAGTTTCAGTGATGTCTCTCTTTCAAGAGAAAAATCTCTTCCTGTGTCTCCATGTTTTAGGTCACTCTTAAGAGCCATAAATATTTGAAGATTTAAAAAAAAATGTTCAGAATTTACTATTCTGTCAGTGAGAGGGCTACTGATTACAATTCACTTTACCATTACCTGTAGCTAGACAGTTTACTTTTCTTGTAAAACAATAAAACATTTTCATTTTCAAGCCAATGTATGTTGAATTTTTCTTCTTTAAAACAAAAAATATCCTACCTCATGGCTGTAGGTAGTAGTTCACAATGTATAAAATGGACTGCCAGGCAGCTAGGTAAAGGGAAGGGAACTCTATTAACTAATATAATTTTTTATTTAACTTAACTCTATGAAATTAGAAAACAATTTTTTCTTCCCTCTGTGTTCCTCTATTCAATCTTGGCTGTCATAATCAGACAGACAGAAAGTGTGAGGAAACTTTCTTCTTGCAATGCAAAGAAGAATGGAATGGAAACCTTAGAAGCAGGCAGTATAGAAAACAATTTTATGAGTGGAGAAAGCATACATGCTTACTGTGTTTGCATGTAGGTAAAACTATTTACAGATGAAGACGGAAAGACTATTACCTTTACACTCTGGAGGCTTGCTACTCCATGTGTTATAGTCAGTACAGAATATCATGTTCTTCCCAATAAGGGAAAACTGATCAGGCCCCGGGTTATGGTCACAACTGTAAATTACTGCTTCACGGTATTTGAATACATCTATGTCAGTAAAGCTGTGGGTTCCATTTTTTATTTTTGGAGGTGGTGAACAATAGACCTCTATAAAAAGGGAAAAAAGATAATGAAAGGGAAAAGGCAAGGTAAAAATCAAGACAGTGGTAGAAAGTTCTATGAATTATCATAAACAAATCCATCAATACAGGATTTCTATAAGCTACTTGTGACCTCAGTTTTCATCTAGAAGAGGATTTCTATGAGAAAATCTATCACCCCAAATTTAAACCATTAATGTAGAAATGACCTTTCGGGACAACTCATTTTCTTGAGGGACAAAATGCCTGTGTTTATTTGCAAGGCCAGGCTGTTTGTCCTCGTTAGCAGAAGAGATGCTGAACATCCAATGAGAAATGATGATGGAAAATAAGTGAGTGCTGATTGACAACTGTACAATATACGAACACATTCATTCTTTAATGTGGTAGCTCAAAATCACACTAACACACCGTATTTTATTTTATTTCTCACAATACAATATTTTTGCAGAGGCTACAAATTTTGTTAACACAACAGAAAAACTATGTCTTCCTCCAAACCATATATTGAAGAAATTTGCAAAACTGAAAAATAATATTCTCATTCTGTTTTTTTGTTTTGGAAAATTTCAATTAAAAAGAGATATGAGGTTCACTAATATGTTTATTGTCCTTAAAATTAATAATTATTTTGAAGCCTCTCTGTTTTAATCCCAATATGATTATTATCAATAGATATAATCATAAAAAATACTTTTGGGGAATTTGTTAATCTAAAAACACAATAAGACCCTGAAGCCCAAATGCTCAAGAACTGATAGTCTAAATTTTAAAGAGAATTTACTTACTTTCACAGTGTGGGGTAGGACCACTCCAATATGCATCTTCTTCACCTTTAAGTACACAGTGTAGAAGTGGCATACCAACTAGATAATAACTAAGTGAGCAAAGAAAAGGTTACCGTTTTCTTTAACAGCCAGTACAATGCACAGAAATGAAGGACATTTTTAGACAGTTGTTTTTCTACACTGTAATAGTTTGAAGGATAGTTTCTTAAGCAGCATATAGTGAAAGCGCTAATAAATTTGAACTTTAATCGGATGAAATGTTTCTGTGAACACTGACCATGAGCTGGGACATGTAGACGTATCTGCTGTTGCCTGTCAGTCTGGCCTCTTTGCTCTCTCCTACAATCACATTACCCTTTGCTTCTGTGCCTTCGCTCATACATTCTGCTCTGAGAATATGGGGCAGAGGAGAGGATCCCTTAATAAGGATTCACTGGGTACCAGTTCTTAGGCCATGACTAACTGGCTACTTGAGCATGAGCAAGTGGCTTAATTTCTCTTAACTCCTCAATTAAAAATATGCAAATAGCCCAGGATACTGGCATATGCCTTTAATCCAAGCACTTGGGAGGCAGAGGCAGTTGTATCTCTGAGGCCAGATTCATGGTGTTGTTCAAGGGTGGGGTGATGCAGGCCTTTAATCCCAGCACTTGGGAAATCAAGACCAGCCTGGTCTACATAGTGAGTTCCAGGCCAGCTGGGGCTACAGGGAGACCCTGTCTCAAAAAGACCAACATAAATAAATAAATATAAATAAAGAGAATAAGATACGTTAGTGTCTAGCACACAGCAAGTGCTAAGTATAAGTTAGCTCTTATTAATACTGTGATCAGAATGTCTTTCTAGGGAACACCTCAGGATTAACCCTAATCTGTGAAGTCTTCTGATGATTGACTGCACAGATTATTTTTCTGGACTGTCCCTATTATCATGAATTATTCTACTTACTGGTACTTGTTTATTATTTTGCTCTGGTATACAATCTTTTTGAGAAGGATCTATAGCCTAAACTTTTCCTTCCCTCAAACAGCCTAGGCAACTTCTATGTAGCTATTAACTGAATTTTCCAGTGCTTTTGCTTGATAAAGCTAAACAATTGCCAATGAAAGTCCTTGTTGACAGTAATTGCTGACTTTCCTCTGAGACTCAGTGTTACTTGCTGAGAGCCTCCTCAGTTACCAGTGCCTCATTTTGAGATGCTTCAGTTTGTGTAGTCGTCTCAGAAAAAGGTTTTCCAACTGAAAGATCCTGAGTCATATGATGGGAAAGGTGAAAAAGTGTCATAATGGACTAGTTAACACACTCCAAAATTCTCTAGACATGAGAATATCTTTGCTTGGAAGTTCTACCTTCCGTTTTGTGTGAGCCCTACTTCAACCCCAAGAGTTGGCAGTAGGGTGCACTTGGTTGTAAAGTATAAAGTCTTCATAGTTACCACTCCCCCTTTGGATTTCTGAGACAGTTCCACACTGTAGCCCAGGCTGTCCCGGAACTCACTGTGTAACCCAGATTGCTCTCAAACTTAAGGAGATACTCCTGGCTCAGCCCTCTAAATACTGAGATTGTGTGAGCCACCACACCTGGCTGATTACTCCATTTTTAAAAAGATTTTATTTATTATTTGTATTTTACGTATATGAGTGTATTGCCTGCATGTATGTAAGTGCACCCGTGTCACACAATACCCACAGAGGTCAGAAGAGGATGTGGGATTCGCCTAAAACTGCAGTCTCAGACAGTTGTTAGCTACTATGTGGGTGCTGGGAATTGAACCTGGGTCCTCTGCAAGAGCAGCCAGTGCTCTTAACCACTGAGTCATCTCCATTTTAAATGCTTTTCATAGACTTATTATAGCAAGTATCACACAGCTTTCTTTTATTTGCTTCAACTTCCATTTCTTTATCTATTATATGTCTTTCCTGTCACAATAAAGTGCCCAAGGATTGTTTGGCTAGAAGTACAACTTGTCACATAGAAAGCAAAATTAAAGCAAATTTACTTGAATGCTTAAAAAGAGAGATAAAACAATGGAATCAGGAACATTTGCCTTATTTCCCATAAGGAGCAACTTACCCGTCCATACAAGAAAAATGAACTCGAGCACCCCATGAAAACCTTCCATCTATGTAGTGTATTGAGCCATGTAACGGTTTCTTTAGAATATCACATTGTACTCCTAGAAGACAACAATGAAAATTTTAATCCAGCTTCAAAGAAAGCTGCACTTGAATCAGAGTCAAAATCATGCCTTGCTCTTTAGAATTTGTAGGTTATTTTCCTTTAACTGCTGCATTATAAGAGCAAACAAACATAAGATTCACAATTTTGCAAGCAACTAATCGCCAAGAAAAGGTTTCCTATAAGTTTCTCAAAACCTGAAAAAAAATCCCACACTTAATCCAAAGCCTTTTTTTTACATAGGAAAATCATCGATTCAATAAGGGCATATGCCACCTAAAATGTGTGAAAATCAAGCAAAAAAAAAAAAAAGAGTTGTGTTTACTTACTAACACAACCATCATCTGAAATAGGTACCCATGTGTGATTTGGCTCACAGGTAGCAATCATGAGGAATGGAAGCAGATACAGGTATCCTTTTTTACACTTATACTGTATTTTCTCGCCAACCTCATAATAGGGTTTAGGTGGTTGAGAGGGCTCCATGGCTTCAAATGGTGGTGGTAGTTCACAGGCATCTGAGGGCAAAGGGGCAAGAACATGAAAAAGAAATGTGAGCACCACTTTCACTAACCAAGAACTGTGATTTGGCAGCAGGAAGGAGAGAAAAGGCAGAAACTGTCCTGAGCAAGATTCCAAATACTGTTCCATGCTTTGATTACAGGGTAAATGTGATTTTTATTCAAAAGAAAACTAGTGAGATGAGATTAATGCTTTTTCTCTTAAAAATACATATGTATGTATATCTATACATGTATATGTAATGGTTTAGGCTCTCATGAGACCATCGTGTTCTTGATGATCCTTATGTCTCATTCATTACCACACCTCTAGTACCCAGTACCAAAGTTTGAGTAGGTGCTGTGATTGGTTCTTTATTCTCTTAGATCAAAACTCAAATTCTCTACTGCTCAGCCAGTTTGCTTTGATGATATCTGAAAATCATGCTTTCTTTGCTGCATTTAAGCCAGTCTGTAAAACAAATTTTATTAGCTTAGTTACAAAAATTTCCCTGCATCAACATTTCTTTTATGTCAAAATATTTACACTTTACTAGTTTATTATGGATTCATTCTACATTATTGCTATAATTATAAAGTGAACTCCAAATTCTGTGGGTTGTATTTTTTCTGAAGTATAGTAATACCAAATTCCAGAACTTACTTCTTTCTTTAAAAAAATTGTTTTTATTGAATTTTCATGTATTTCATACAGAACATCTCAATCAATCTTATTCATCTTTATACCCCTGTCCCCACTGGCACCCTCCCACAGCCCCCCTACTGGAATTCATACATTCTTTCATTTGTGTTAAGGCCTATTGTGTCAAGTTAGTGTTCCCAGACATTCCTCAGTGCAAGTCAGCTTATCTAGAGTCCCTCTCTTTAGGAAGATCAGCTCTTCCTCACCCAGCAGTAATCAGTTGCCAATATGTCTTCAGCTAAGATTGGGATCTGCTGTCCATTTAAGCTCCTGGGACCCTGCTCATATGAATCTATAGCAATGTTATCAGTATACACAGTCCCAGGCAAACTCAAGAAGACAAAAACCCAGAAGTTATTTCTTTAAAAAAAAAAAATATATATATATATATATATATATATTTGGTCTTTTTGAGACAGGGTCTCCCTGTAGTCCCAGCTGTCCTGTAACTCACTATGTAGACCAGGCTGGCCTTGAACTCACAGAGATCTGCCTGCCTTTGCTTCCCAAGTGCTGGGATTAAGGGCGTGCACCACCACACTCAGCTTAAAAAATATTTTTTACTGATTTGAGAATTTCATACAATGTATTTTGATCATGGTCAGACCCGTCTCCCCAACTTCATGTCCTCTATTATTATTTGTACTTTTTTAAGCCCTACCATCAAATCTAGTAAGTACTCTTGGGTGTGGGTCTATCTTTTGGGGTCTGGTCAACCTACCAGGTATCACACAAATAGGAAAAACGGACTCTTCCTTTATCAGCATCTTTCAATTGCCAGTAAAATCTTGAGGTAGAGTTGGGACTTCCTGCCCACCTCCCTCATCCATGCTGGGCCCTGTATGGTTTGGGATGCACAGGTCTTATGCATGCTATCATAAGCACTATGGGTTCATATGGGTAACTACTCTGTGGTGTTTGGACAACACAGTTTCCTTGTATTCATCTACCACCTCTGGCTTTTATAACCTTTCTGCCCTCTCCTCTGCAATGATCCCTGAGCTTTGGGAGGAGAAGGTGGGATATAAATGTCCCATTTAGGGACTAAGCACTCTGCAGTCTCTTATTCTCTGTATGTTGACCAGTTGTAGTTAATATGTGTTAATCATCTTCTGTAAGAATAACCTCTGGTGATAGTTTAATATTATGTCTATTTAGCTGAATGGTATTATTAGGATCTCACCTATGGTCTGTGACCTATCTAGTCACAGGTCTGTGACCCTGATAACATTGTCAGATATGGACTCCATCTTGTGAAGCAGGCTTTAAATCCAATTACAAGGTAGTTGGTTACTCCCATAATAACTATGCCAGTGGGCATATTTTGCCAAACCAGCTGTTATTGTAGCTCACAAGGTTCACAACTGGGTAAGTTGATGAGTACCTTTCTCTGCCAGTAACATGCATAGCACCTTCTAGTACTATCAACCTAGTCAGCAGAGATGTAGCTTCAAGCTCAGCACTAGCTTGATTTCTCCTTGTTTGTTCTGTGTTTTAGCTATGTAGTATCTTCACCAATAGGGTCTTACCATCCAATTCTGCTGGGTAACCTCATGCAATGGCAATATCTAGTATTTTTTGAAGATCTATGGGTTTGCTCTGGTCAACAACTGCTAAGGTGTTCATTCCTAGCATTGGGCTTTTCACTTACCAGCTTGTGGCATCTATTAGGGCCAGTGCACCCCAGCCATAGGGTAACTACATTTAAAATCCTTTATTGTGTATGTATATATCGAAAGAAGCTTCTATAGTAGGTTTCCATATGACTCTTTCAAAGGCCTTTAGTATTAAGTTATTCCTCCTCTTACTCCCTCTTCTGCCCTGATCTCGTCTCCACCCCATTAAACCCATCCTATCCGTTGTTCCCCTTTATCATTTATATCACTGCATTCTACCATCCCTCCCATGAACCTCTAACGGTTTTCCAGTTGAAAGACACATATCTAAAGATTAAAATCTATGAGGGAGAACATATGATATTTGTTTTTCTGGGTCTGGGTTACTTCACTTAGGATTATTTCCAGTACCATCCATTTACATGCAAATTTCATAATTTTACTTTTCTTGTCAGCTGAGTAATAGTCCACTGTGTAAATGTACCATAACATTATCCATTCATCAGTTGATGGATATCCAAGTTATTTCCACTTCCTGGATATTGTGAATAAGGCAGCAATGAGCATGGATGAACAGATGTCTTTGTGGTAGGATATAGAATCCTTTGGGTACATACCCAAGAGTGGTATGGTTGAATCATGTGGGAGAACCATTTTTAGCTTTTGGAGGGAACTCCATGCTGATTTCCATAATGAATCCACCAGTTTGCACTCCCACCAGCAGTGATTAAGGGTTTCTCTTTCTTCACATGCTCTCCAACATTTGTCATTGTTTGTTTTTTGGATCTTAGTCATTCTGACTAGGGAAAGATGAAATCTTGAAATAGTTTTAATTTGTATTTCTATGGTGGCTAAAGATGTTGAACATTTAAAAAAATATTTCTCAACCATTTGTATTTCATCATTTGAGAACTCTGTTTACAGAAATTATTTCTTATAACAATAGTGATGATGATTTTAAAAAATTTAGAAATAGCAAATCCCTATGCTGAGAATTTGGTGTTCTCTACTTCATACTCATCTTTTGAAATAATTAGATAGCTCCTTCCTCTGTAAGACGAGTGAACTGAAGCACTACTAGTAAAATAACCAGCTCAGGAACACATTCCAAGCAGGTCTCTCAGCCTGTGTCCAAACCACACTGGGAACCACCACAAATATTGTGTCCCCTTTCCAGCCAGCTCTCATCTGGAACTCCCCAAAGCAAATGTCATCTCATCCTGTGTTTAGTCCTCAAGAAATTGCCTTCTACGGTGCCTGGGAAAATTAGAGCAGCCCTAGTTTAGACCCAAGTTGTACTAAGGGCTCAAATTGCTTTATGGAGCAAGTAATAATGTCACAGTGTGAACTGCTCCAAACAAGTCCTTTGTTTCACATGATTCTTCACTCTAGCTCTCTCTCACTGCCCCCTTGCCTCTTTTGCAATTAGTGGTCAGCTATATCAAATCTAGGTGTCTTTGCTTACATGCCTCAGCTCTGAACCCCTGTCCCTGACTGTCTACAGTTCCTGCTCAGCTCTTCTCTTCTTAGACAAGCACTCATCATCTGGAGGGAACATCCTGTGCCTTGTCCCTGGAAGCAGCATTCAGGCCCCTTCCTTTGGGCTCCTCCTCTATCAGGATAGCTCAGGTAAATCGCATGCTTCTTGTGTTCAACCACTAAGACAGATTCTAGTTATCCATATGACCACAATATCCAGCACCATGTGTTCCTCACAGTGGCATCAAAATACCACAGAACACTTTCAAGAACTGTATAGTCAGTAATTTCCTTCATATTGAAAGTCATCATTTTAAAGCTTTATGCACTGGAGAGAAAGGAGCTGTCCATTTCTTCTGTTGCCCATCTACTAGTATTCTACTAACCCAGAAGCTGACCGCATTAAGACTGGTCCCTGAATTGTAGCACACAGTAAGAACTGTAAACATTTACTGATCTTGCAAAGAACTAAAATATGCAGGTGGAAGCAGATACAACAGAAGGTGCAGCTTTGTCCACAGAAGCAGCACCTCTTCCAAAGGAGGAGACTGACCTCAAAATTTGACATATTTCCTTCTGCAATCCTGATGACAGGTCTCCCATGCTTGGTTGGCTCTGTCTGTTTATAGACTCTTTTGTTCATGAGTTGAGCTACTCCAATGAGATCCTACTTCATCCTCCCATTCTCTCTGCCTAACACAATGTTTCCCAGATTCATATCTGTCTCAATTTTACTTTCAGATTTAACTTTACTTTCTCTCCTCTTCATTTTAAATTTCATTACTTTCCACATTATATCCTATTTTTTTATTTATCTATTTTCCTCCATTTCAAATAGCTTCATAGTTTAAAATTCTAGATTGAAGTCTGTCCTAAATATTCCTTTAAAAAATCCTTTTGTTTATTATTGCTGCTACCTGCCCCTTCTATACCTTTTCAAATAAGCTTTATGATGAAGCAAGGCTCTTTAAAGACCCTCCTTCCTGGAGGCAGGAGGAATTTTTTGTGCTCTAAGCCTTGGCTGAATATGATACTTAACATTCTGGTAGTTAACAGTTATGTAAGAGTGTCCACACTGAGGCAAAAAAAAAAAAAATCAGCCATTTGGATTCACAAGTGTGATAAAACAGATAAGATCTCTGCCTTCCAATGGGGAGAGTCAGAGAACAGAAAAGACAGTTTTAGAAACATGATTGCAAGTTGAGGAGTATGTCTACTGAGGTAGGACAGTCAGTGGAGATTTCTGTGCAGGGTAACATTCCAGCCAAGTTTGAAAAGACAGCCAGTTACGTAATGTCAGGAGAAGGTTTCACAGCAGGAACCTTCAGCAGGGGGGCATAGTAACAAGCCAATGCTTTAAAGTGGTAGAATATGAATTGTTGTTTGCCCTGCCTCCTGTCATTTGTTAAATGCAGCCAGAGAAGCATGCTCCTTTGCTCCAGAGAGTTGCTCTATTCATTATTAAGCTTTGGTTAGTGCTTTCCACTCCTAATAAGTCTTGGGAAATATTTATAGATCACCTACTAGGGATCTATCGGGATAACAAAGTGCCTGCTTATAGTCATGCATGTGCATGTGTGTCAACAGCCAGTGGAAGAGAACCATGAAAACAGGAATGATCTGTCACTGCCTTCCAGCATATCCTCATGACCAGCACAGGGCCTGGAACATAGAAAGCAAAGGTTGCTGAGTGGATGCTGCTAAGGAAAGATGCAGCACAGACTACATGTACATGACCCTGTATGTATCTGGAATACAGAGACACACAGAGTATTGAAAAGCACAAGGAAATAGAAATGCCATTGTTCTTTGTATAAGCTTTATACAATAAGCATGCATTTAAAAAAGTATCTATTCTATTTAATGAAACAACCCAGACATGGTGGGATGGCTTGAGCTGTAAGAGAAAACCAGACAGTTACACTTCCTGTCTCAGGAATTGTGTTCAGGTTTCTCCTTTCTACTATGACTTTGATTTTAAAGGTAAACAAGGTCCCAAAGCCATTTGGTAATAGACACTGTCTATATTGTTGGGAATGGAAGATAACTTCAAGGGTTAGAAAACAAAAACAGCCACTTGTAAACCAAGTCCAATCTGCCTCAGGCGATAAGGAAACTACTCAAGATACAAAAGGCACAATGCTTTCCCAGCCCACCCAAAGCTGCTTACTCCCAGCATAAGCAGTGTAACCTCCTTTCTCCAGGACCAAAGACTGTGCCTGCCCTAAAGAAAACCAGGGCATACACTCTACACAGCAGCAGAGGTCACTGAACAGCACATCCAGAGCAGTCTGGCCAGGGAACCAGCAGTGCAGCCCATTCAAGTACTGCAGACACCTTGGTGAGCCCTCATGACGAATACTGAGACCTTGATGAGTAAACCCTACATCTTGCTCAGGCATTACCACCAGCACACCACAGACCTAGCCATACTTCCAAGTATCTGGGTACTCCAGAGCAAACCATTTGCTGGAGCATTGGTGCACACTACCCTCCCTGATTTGGCTCAATCTTTGAAAAGCCACAAGCTTTTGCTACTGACATAGTCTGGGTCTGGGTGAACATTCACTGTGCCCACCATCCAGGCTGAGTCTTAAGCTCAGCCCACTGAGCAAGTTTGCACTTAGAGACAGCAGCGTCTCCACAGCCAGCACACACACACACACACACACACACACACACACACACACTCGTGTGATGTGGACATACTCATATGCATAACCCTAGGAGAACCGTGGCCAAGGCTTCTACGCCAACCTCACCGGGGTCAGGTTAGCACCTAAGTGCCAGCCTCTCAGCGTCACGGTCTAGCCTCGGGCTCCTACCGGAGAAAGTAGACAGCAGGAAGAACACAGCCTCTGCGCAGATGCCCAGGAGGCACCACCAGAAAGAGTAGGTCTTCCTTCGGCGGGGCGGGGCCGTGCCGGGAGCTAGAGACTCTGTCATGTTCCCAGAAAGGAGAAACTGAGCGCCAGGCAGCCGGGGAGCAGCTTTTGAGCCCAGTGATCACACGCAATAATCCCCAAATTCAAAGTGTACAAGGCCGCACAACAGGTGGGCGTGGCCAGCCTGCTCCTGCGTCGCGGGAGACAACAGGCCGAGCAGGCAGGACCAAAGGGAGGGCAGCAAGGCGGGGCCTCAGGTCTGATGGGCTGGACCAGTGGATTGTGCTTGTCATCTGCCACCCCGAATTCCTTCCAGGTGGGGCTGCACTCCTCCCTAGGTCTCCTCTCCCGCAGAGCTTAGCTCCTCCTCGGCAGGGGTGGAGTTCCTCCCCAGGATGTCTGTTCCGCTGCTCAGCTTTCCCTCCACCCGCATCCCGGGCTCCTCCCAGGATGGGTTGAGCTCCTCCCCCGGCTGTCTTGCAAGTGGTTCATCCCAGGGCTGCCTCTGACTGCGCAGCCTCTGCGCCTGCAGTGTGCTAGGGGGCGGGCACTGGCTCTCATTCACATGAACAGGTGGGCCACCCTACTCAAGAATGGCAGATAAAGATTAATTGGCCCTGCCATCATTGCTGGAAATTCGAGCTTGAAGAATAAAGCACTGCGACCTGAAAATAGACCTGGAGCCTGGGCAATGCGTCACATTAAGGCTAGCACCCCTGGGGCTCGCCTTATCCAGGCTGCCTCCATCTACTCTGGGCCCTTCGTCTATATTTGACCTGATTAGGGAAAGTACTTAAGATTGAATTCTCTTATGGACTTAGCTCACAGTTCTCAAATCTCAAAGGTTTGCCCACAGGGCTCCCAGCCCTTAAACTTGCTGGGAAGTATTGCACAGATCACTTCCCTAGGCCGGACACTGCAAGCCCACCCTTGAAGTAGAGCTAGTGTCTGTCTCAACCCTACTATGGGATGGTTTCAATGACTATGGACTGTAAACTTCCCCAGGCCCTGACTGCTGCCTGAAGTCTAGAGTTAAAGCTTTGAATGAAAGAGGTAATTCAACATAGTGGTGGTTTCTCCAACTCCTGGGAAAAACTGCCAAGATTTATCAAACAGCCAAAAAGAAGCAAGGAGAGAAGAGCCCAGGGACTTGTGGACCAAATTAGGACTATAGATTTCCTGTGAACTTTTTGAAGGGTGGTAGGATGGAGGGGTGGAGGGGCATTCATTAAATGGTGGAAACTTCCTCTTTAAAACCGGCTGTTAAATGTTTATCTTAGCCTCCCGAATTAACATGTTTCCACTATGATTTTCAGACTGGGGTAACGTCTTCAGGTCAGCTGACCTATCTGCACAGTGGAGCAGGGCCTGACTTCCTTTCTAGGGCCTCCAAAAACCATCACTAAGTACAGAAGCAAGGACACTTTCCTTGTTTCACTGTGGCTTTGTGTCTGTCTCTGCATGTATTGTGTGTTGTGTATGTACTTGTCAGTGTGGGTATGGCCTCTTCAGCTCTGGGATTACAAGCTTCACAGCCACTCTGGGCTTTTTATGTGGTTTCTAGGGATCTGAACTCACGTCCTCATGCTTGGGTAGCAGGCACTTTACCTACTAAGCCATTTCCCCAGATCCTTGAAGGGTCTAAAAAGGTAAAGTTATTACAAACAAAATATATTCTACATGTATCTAAATGTAAAGATAATTTTTTATTCCTTTCTCATTTTAATGTGAACATATTTTTTTTAAATATTAGGTTCAAATTATCTTAGTTCTCATATTTATTTTACAAAAAGTAAACAATGTTACTAAGAGGAATAGATTTGGAGAAAAATTGGCAAGATCCTGCCTTTCAGATGGAAAATATAAGGCTAATAGTTTAACAGAATCACTTAAAAATACAAGTTAGTTAAGCAACACAGGATCTTACTCGTAGCATATATAGTATTTTCCATGACAACTAATGTAATAGAAAATAAAAATCACAGCTTAATTGGAATTAAAAAGTCACAGGCATCAAGTAGCCATTTATCATATTGCTCACTGACCCTCTCCATTATGGGAAACATAGTTTGTTTGTTTTTTTCTTGTAATGGGAATCTGAATTGTCAATTATTTAGCTTCTGATGCTACTTTAAAAAATTACTTCTCAAGGAAGGGCGTGCCTAGTGAAGTGCCTGCTGTGCAAGCATGAGGACCCGTGTAAAAGCTCAGCATAGTGGGAATGTATATAACCCCAGGGCTTTGGAAGAGAGACAGGCAAATATCCGGGGGTCACTGGCTGGTTAGAATAATCCAAACAGCAAACCCTGGGTTCAGTTTGAGACCCTCTCATCCTCCACCATGGGAAAGCATACCCACATACACATGTATACACACATATTACATAACACACACACACATTAGTTCTTTAAAATCTCAAGAGTAGAGATTTGTTACTGGGCGTGGTAGCACACGCCTTTAACCCCAGCACTCGGGAGGCAGAGGCAGGCGGATCTCCGTGAGGTCAAGGCCAGCCTGGTCTACAGAGTGAGTTCCAGGACAGCTGGGGCTATAGGGAGACCCTGTCTCAAAAAGACCAAAAAAAAACCCAAAAAAACAAAAAAAACAAAAAACCAAAAACCCCAAAAGAATAGAGATTTGCATAGGATCGTTTAATAAAAGCCCTATAGTGTCTATTGGGGGGGGGCATTATTTGGCATTTTATTTAATTATTTTTTAATTTTTTAAAAATTTAATAACCACATGATTAGAAGAAGCATTTCATTACAGCTTTAACATGACACATTCCAGAGCAAGGATACATCTCTTTCAAAAGTGGCTGTAAGTTTCATTCACAATTGAATTAATACAGTTATACAAGATTGAACTCAGTATAAACCCGGTAAGACATAAAATTGAATGTTTTTACCCTTTAAAGAAGATCTCCATTTCATTTTAAAATATGCTGTTTCCTACATTTTGAATGCTACTAACACTTGGATGTTTGCACATGTGTCTTTAATCTCTATGTATCTGATTATTACTAGTCACAGTCGGTTACACTCGGATCCTTAGTACCCGAGTATGGATATAAAGTCAGGTAGGTTTCACTGGTAATGTTTATCACCTTTACTATTCAACATGAAGTAAATTTTTATGCTTCCTCCTCAAATGTCTTTTTTGGTTTTTTGTATCTATTTTTAACACTTTTACAGGTTACCTTTCTTAGTGACTGGGTAAAAGTTGTTTACATTTTTTTTTTCCTGAGAAGGGAGTTGGTCTTTGAATTTTCAAGAACTCTAATAACAGATTTGTGATACCCGTTCCACTTCTATCAGTGTCCTTTACTTATTACTTTTGGTATTGAGACAACTGTCGCCCCCTGCTGGCCTGAAACTTGGTATGTAGACCAGGCCAGAGATCTGCCTGTTGAGATTAAAGCAAGGCCACTTATTTCTTAAATATTAGCCTTAAACTATCTTAGATATACTTATTTTACAAAAAAGGAAAAAGAATGCTACTAAAAGAAATAGCTTTGAAGAAAAATTGGCTGGGTTCTTTCACATGAAAAATGTAAAACTACAGTTTATAATTTTTATTATTTATTTAGTTATTTCTATTTTATAAGTTTATGTTTGCATGTGTATAAGTGTACCCGTGTCGTTCAGTGTCCACGGAAGACAGAAGAGGCTGTTGGATCCCCTGGAACTGGAGTTACAGATGGTTATTAGCTGCCATATGGGTGCTGGGATTCAAACCTGGGTCTTCTGCAAGAACAACCAGTGCTCTTAGTCACTGAGCCATCTTTCCAGCACCACAGCTTATAATTTTTATTTATTTATTTTTACTTTATGTGTGAGTGTTATGCCTGCAGGCATGTACATGCACCTGTGTCGTGAAGTACCCACGGAGGACAGATGAGGGTGTCTGATCCCCTGGAACTGGAGTTACAGATGTTGTTAGCTGCCACATAGTTTTGAATTTGGGTCTTCTGCAAGAGCAGGCAGTGCTCTTAACTGCTGAGCCATCTCTCCAGCCCCAAGGCTAATAGTTTAACAGAATCACTTAAAAATACGTTAGTTAAGAAATACAGAATTTTACTCACAGTATATATAGTATTTTCAATGACAACTAATGTAATAGAAAAAAATTACAGCTTAATTGGAATTAAAAAGTCATGGGCATCAAGTAACTGTTTACCATATTGTTCACTGACCTTTACTTTTTCCAGTCTTACACAATTTAAAGTGAGGTTGATATCTAGCTCATTCTTATGGTGTCAAACTAAATATCACATAATATAAATTTAAAGGAGCTATCAAAACACAGAAATTAGGGACTGGAGAGATGGCTCAGTGGTTAAGAGCACTCACTGCTCTTGCAGAGGACCTGGGTTCGATTCCCAGCACCCACATGGTGGCTAGCAACTGTATTACTCTAGTTCCAGGGGATCCGATGCCCTCTTCTGACCTCCGCAGGCATTGCACAACATTGCACCTACATACATGCAAGCAATACACTCATACACATAAAATATTTTAAAAACACAGAAATTAGCAATAGTTATGCACAAGGCTCTTTATTCAATACCTAGAAAGATTCTGACAGTTTTTTAGAGCTCATGAGCATGGTCATAATATTATAACAAATTTTCATCTATAAGGAAGAGGTATACTACAGATTATGGGGGAACTTTAATTTCATTTATTTTTTCTTCTTTCTTGTGTGTGTGTGTGTGTGTGTGTGTGTGTGTTTACGTATGTGCATGTACTTGTGGAAGCCCAAGGTAGATATCAGGAATCTTCTTCAATTACTCTTCCACCTTATTTTTTGAGGCAAGATCTCTCAATCAAACCCAGAGCTCACTAGCCAGTTTGCTCAGGGGAATCTTTGTAACAGCCTTTGAGGATAGAATTACAGGAGGGCTACCATGGTCACCCAGAATTTATGTAGATTCTGGGGGTCTGAATTCTATTTCTCTTGCTTGTGAGCAAGTACTTTAACTGCTAAGCCATCTCTCTCACTGATTTTAAGGGTCAACTTATGACTATTAACAAGGTAAATTCTTTTAAAAATTGACATACAATTTATATAAATTTATGAGGTAACGTGATGGCTAGATACATCTATACATTATATAATGTTTAAATCAGGGTAAACATGCCACTCTTCAATTATCACTTTTTTTCATTTTTTTTGTCTTTTTGAGATAGGGTCTCCTTGTAGCCCCAGATCTCCTGGAACTCACTATGTAGATCAGGCTGGCCTTGAACTTACAAAGATCTTCTTGCCTCTGCCTCCCAAGTGCTGGGATTAAAGGCATGCGCCACCACACCTGGCTATTTATCACTTCTTTATAGTGACAAGACTGAAAATCCTTTCAAGCTTTTGTTTTGCAATATCATGTTTTCCTATAGCTGCCCTGTTTTACAATCCACCCCAGCACCACCACCCCTACCTGCAGCTTAGCATCTGCTGACTGATGGATTCTTTTTTATTATTTTTATTTTATGTGTGTATGCATGTATTGCCTGCATATAGGTAAGTGCAACCGTGTCATGCAATGCCTGCAGGGGACAGAAGAGGCTGTTGGGTCCCCTGGAACTGGAGTTATGGACAGTTGTTAGCTGCCATGTGGGTGCTGGAATTAGAACCCTGGTCTTCTGCAAGAAAGGCCAGTGTTCTTAACCGCTGAGCCATCTCTCCAGCCCGAGTGATGAATTCTTAAAAGTTGTACATTTTAGTTAATGAATGTATTCAAAGGTAATTTCCTCTAATGGGAACTATTCTTTTTATTTCATTTTTAAATGCAGAACATGGTACAAAGTACTTTCAGTAGAACTTAGAACAAATCCAGAATGTATTTTTTTTTTAAGATAGTTCTCCAGTGGTCTTGACCTCTCTCCCACACAATCACTTAACATATTTTTAGTGAACAAAAGTTACTTCTCTTCCTGAGAGAAGATGAAAATGGATATTCATGTTTTACTCTGATCTGGTTTAGAGTGGGTTCTCTTTTATAAAATGAAGGAACTATCTAGAAAAAAATGCATGTATAGATACACATATGAAAAGGACAGGAAGACATGAAAATATTAACAGTGGCTATCGTTACACAAAATAATTCCGACTTGTTTTCATTTCTTTCTGCATTTTCCCAAATTCTCCTTAATAAGCCTATTCCATATTTATGAACATTTTAAAATAAGAAAGGAAAATGACTTTTATAACACAGAACTCCTAGACTATATCTTCTGTGTTCAAGTTACTGTTTTCTCTGCCCAAGCATAGTCCTGTCATCTGACTAGAGAGCATGATTTTAAGATAAGGAAAGGGCATGAAGCTGATGAATGCTTAAAGGATAAACAATCGACTGAATGAATGCAATAGAATAGGAAAAAAGGGGCACATGAGTACCAAATATACATAATATCGTCCCTATATATAATATTCCGTATATTTCCCATTTTTCAAAAATGAGTGCATATTATTTTAATCTTAATTTTTTTGTTTTGAGATAGGATAAAGACCCAGGTTGGCCTTGAACTTGTGGCAATCCTCCCAAGTGCTGCAATTATAGGCATGAGCCACCACACCTGGCTCCCCACACTGTTCATTTTTCTTTTAATTTGTTTTATTGTATTGTACTAAAGGAACAGCAGGGGGGGGGAAGGTCATACAATTTTCTTGTCAGTTTTGAAAAATCTAAAGTACTTTCAAATTCTTAAGAATGCAGAACAGTAACTTTAATATAATCATTTTCTTAGTGAATGTCTTACAAACAAAAACATTTAAAATTGCTTTAAATGCATTCTTTACAAGTAATTCAGCATATATTTTATATCATGTTCATTTATGCTTAAGAATTAAATCAAATATGTTACTCTGATGGGAATATGGGAAATCTCCCATTCATGCAATATACCAGAATGATATTCTAGTCAACAGGGAAAAAGTCTTACTTTTGTAAATGTGTACATTACAAAATTACATAGTGTATACATTATATAAACTGTGATGTTTCCCACAAGTCACAGGTACATTTTTCAGTTCACTAGAAGCACCTGATATCTACAGCTAATTCATTAGATGGCATTTCAATAGACCAAAATGGACCCTACAAGTTCCGCTAGATGAAGCTTCCAGTGGACTAAGGACAGTTAGTAATTAATGCAATCACTTGGGAGGATTATGGCTGTTCCTTAAGAAGTTCAAGTTCAACCTGTCAACACCAGAGGTAATCATTTTATGTTTATTTATACATAATTCCATTTAAAATCTTTTTTTCAGGCTGGAGAGATGCTTAGAGGTTAAGAGTACTGGCTGCTCTTGCAGAGGACCCAACATCCACATGGTGGCTAACAACTGTCTATTAACTCCAGTTCCAGGGGATCTGATGCTCTCTTCTAGCCTCCAAGGCATTGCATGACACAAGTACACTTACATGCAGGCATTAACACTCATACAATATAAAATTTTTTAAATATTAAATTCTTTACCCAAGTATAAAATAGAGCAGTCTATCCACAAGAAAAAAATGTTGAAACAGCTAAAAAATAAGAAGTCTTCAAATTTTTTAAGTTTTGAGAATTTCAAACATGAGTATTGTCTTTGCATTATTTCCATCCCTCCCAATCTCCCACCAAACCCTCCTGTCTCTCTCAATTTCCTCTCAATTTCCTGTCTTTTGATTATAACTGCTATATATACATACACTTATAAATGTACACATATATAGATATATAACATTCCAAGTCCATTTTTTAAAGTAACTGGTCAGATTCCATAGGCTACGCTTAAAAATAGTACCTTGGTGGATAGACTCCCTTCATTTGGTGGCTTTTTGCATGCACTTAACTGGACTGATTCTTCTGTGTTGTTCTAAGAACTCACCAAATGAAGGGTAGTGCATCATGCCATATATGTAGTAAAAAAAATGCTAGAACATAGAAAACTAACTTGTACCATCCTTCTTTCTGACAATACACTAGAGCATCTGCATTCGCGATGGCTGTTGGTTCAGAGTCCAGGCCTGCTCATCACTAGTGTACGCATATACCTCCAAATATGATGAGACCCAGTGTAAGCCACTCTGCTGCACAAAGAAACATAACAGAAAAGAAAACATGAATGAGGTACTCTAAAAGGATCCAGGGAGTTATATGGGTCTTACAGGATTTTTGCAATCAGTCTTCAGCTCACCAAATGCCATAATGTGCCAGACGGTGAAGATGAGTGTGGCAGTGAGCAGTGCCAGCATGTAGCAGAAAGGTGGGCCAGGGCCAGTGGAAGAAAATAGTTTATTTTAAAAGTGATACAGGCAGGAAATGCTGTGAGTTTCAGAGAGAGCCATCTTTTTGCACTGCAGCTATTTGGGAAGTTTCTTGAGAGTGAATTCCAAGCAGGGCTAGTGGAACCTAGGCAAAAAGAAAGGCAGAAAGCATTTACAGGTGGGTAATTTGGCAGATGAATATAAAATAATGATATGCTAAGACTTTTATGGAATGTTTTTCAAACAAATTCCTTTAAAAACAACCCCAGTTCTGTTATTTTTGTCTCTACAAATTCCTGCCTAGAGTTTGTTCAGTGCAATGTTCCCATTCTTAGATTCCAATAGTTAATGAAACAAGGCCAGATTACCTTGGAGGGGTATCTTAGAGACTCCTCAAAAACATGATGTTCTACATTATTGTCTCAATTTCTTTTTGCAATATCAGTCTTTTGCTCTTTTATATGTATAGTTATGTTATAGATATAATGTGATTTTTCCCTTCAAACTTTTGGAATAACAAGGTGGTATTGTAGGTGGCATGCTGCTGTCATCTTGACTCCCCCTGGTACATTAGCTATGATATAAACACCCATTTGAGAAGGATCAGACAGGGCAATCATTAAACTTTAAAAAGGATAACATCAATTCTAATTGTTTAAAAAATACAATGCATATTTCATTTGATTTCATATATAATATGGAAAAACAAGCTACAAGGTAGAAGCAAAGAAGTGACCAAGAAATCACAGAATAAACATAAGGTGTTGTAAATTCATTTCCAATGTAAAAGAGAATAACCACCTGCATTTTTTTGTTTAGAAAAATTTGACTTGCCTGTACTTGTTCTTCATTGACTATAAAATGCCTTCTCTGTGCCCTCTATTTTTCCCTGGGGGCCTCTCCACTGACCATTGTTGAATTAAGAATTTCTGACACATGTATTGATAGAAAATGCCACCTTTCCATTAATACATATTGATGCCAGAAAAGGAGACAGGAAATTTACTAGGAATGTGGTGGCTTTGCTTCTGCTTTCTAGGAGAGCAGCCTATTTCCTTTCCACAGCATGGGATGCTATTCTGTGGGGTTTTCTGGGGGAAGAGGTATGTTGTTTATTGAGATAGGGTCTCATGTGGCCCATTATGTAGCCAAGAATGGCCTTGAACTCCTGATAGTCCTCTTTCTACCTTCCAAGTGCTGAAATTACAGACCTGTATTGGCTGTGCTGTTATTTCTGAGAATGCCCTGAGGACCTGTGGATAGGAAATGTTAGGATTCCTGGGAATCCAGTGAACAATGGCCAAATGAACAGCTCTACATGATATAGAAATGTTGATATAGAAACGTGGAGCTGTGAATCTGTGAGAAGCCCAAGAGTTGAAACGAGGATGCCTGAGTATATAGTACAGCTCTGGGCAGTAGAAGGAACATCTGAGTAAGGCACAAGACAGTGAAGAAGAGAAATTCTAGGCTTAAAGGAGCTAGCCAGTGAGAAATTCTTTGGAGTATGTTATAGTTTAGGGGTCAGCAAACTTTTATACCCGGGGCTCTGTGGGCCATGTGGCTTCTGGGCCTTTATTGTACTGCTCACCTGCTGTTATGGTGGAAAAGCAGCCACTAGCAACATGACAAGGAGAGGGTTTTCCCTTAGAGCTGTTTATATAAGCACAAGTGGCCATCTGCATTTAGCCCAGACTGTAGTTTGGATCCCTGTAGTACCTCATTGATTCTTATTTCAGTGATTCACAATATTCAGTGATAGCATATGCTGCTCTCAGCTGGGGTATTATAAGTGCCCTTCCACCCCAAACCTTTGGCCAATATTTGCCATATAAGGGCTGGTGTCGAGGTTGCGCAGAAGAGGTGAATGACATGTCAGGGATGACAATAGCTCCAGAGTAGGGCAGAAAGAACAGTCACAGGACGTCAAGTGAGGTGGAAAATTCAGGGAAAAGTCAGAAATCAGGGAAATGGTAAAGTGAACCAATGAGGTTCCTTAAGAGATCCCACACTGGAGCAGGTGGAGGCAGGTACTTGGCTTCTAAAGGAGAAAAGCAAAACCCACTGTTCCCCAAGACTCAAAAGATCACCCCTCAACACAGTACTGACAGTTACCACACAAAATCTTGAACATGGCAATGACCCAGGAAACAAACTAAAGGTGTTTCCAGTTCATGAAACAGTTTCTAACTTCTTTGTGTGATATCCTGTTTGAATTGTTTCCAGTTTTCAATCCAAGTTGCTGCAAATATTTTGAGTTCAAGATATGAATAGGCACCTGCTGTTTGCATGGCTTGTTTAGCAGAGCTTGAGGGTGAACACAGTTGTCCTCTGGAGGCTGTAAATGGTTATCTTCTTTATATTTTTCATCTGTGGTATTGCTAATTGATAGAGAAAAAAGGGAAAAATGAACCATGTTTCAGTTTTGGAAGTAATTGGTAACTTTCATTTTGAGATTTAAGGTATAATTTGCCTCCAGTTCCTCATATTTTTGCAAGATTTCTAAAGGAAAAATCAGATTTCAGTTTTCAATACTAAGCAAAAATTTGGAATAGGAAATACTAAAACCATCTTCTGCATTGTGTCAGAAGACTCTAGATTGTTTATATAGAGGCATCCATGCCTTAAAACAACACATTTCACTATTTCTGAAGCAATTCTGATTAGTAAATAGTTTTATTACAGATTCTGACACCTTCACATATCAACCTAACACCAGCACCCTTGTGCTCTGTGATACTGGGAAGTTCCACTTCATATTAAAGTAATTCCCACCTTTCAGGTGGCAGCAGTAGCTATCATGAAGGAACCCAGGTCCTTCCCTGTCCTCGGGCTCCACATCCACACATTCAACCAACATAGGTCAAAGACATGCAAAGCAATTTTGACTCTGATAAACACACACAGGCTTTCCTCTAAACAACATAACTATATAGTATAAATGCTGTTTACACAGAACTTAAATTGTATCATAGTATCATAAGTAATCCTGATAATACAGAAGGTTACAGACTAGTACTACCCCTTTGGATTTGAACATCCAATGATTTTAGTATCTGAGAATTCTAGAACCAAAGGCTTTCAGATACTGGAGGATGACTACATAACAGAATTTATAGGAAAAGTAAAAATTAATTTAAGTAAAAAAAAATTATATATATATATATTATGTGTGTGAGTATATTGCCTGCATGTATGTCATACAATGCCCATGGAAGTCAAAAGAGTGTGTCAGATTTCCTGGAACTGGAGTTACAGACAGTTGTTAGCTGCTTTGGGGTGCTGGAACTTGAACCCAGGTCCTCTGCAAGAGCAGCCAGTGCTCTTGACTGCTGAGCCATCTCTCCAGCCCCCATTTACTTACTTTAAAAAAAAAATTTTTTTATTTTATGTGTATGAGTGTATTGCCTGCACGTATGTGAGTGCACCTGTGTCATGCAATGCTGCGGAGGTCAGAAGAGGGCTTCAGATTCCCCTAGAACTGGAGTTAAGGGCAGTTCCTAGCCACCATGTGGGTGCTGGGAATCGAACCCAAGTCCTCTGCAAGAGCAGTCCATGCTCTTAACCTCTGAGCTTAAGATCAGTAACAACTGTGTAAATGTCAGCTAACATTTTCTGATGTTCATTATAAATACAGCATTATGTTCAGTAAAGCAGGAACTATCTTCATTTCAAGGAAGATGGAGCTGAGGGAGGATCAGTGTTTTTGCCCAGGGTTTCATAGCTGATGACTGACTGTGTGCTCTGGTGTGATTTAGAAAGCCCATGCTTTTATGAGGAATGCTACATCGTATCTTCTGGAGTTAATTAGGAAGCACCATGTTACATACTTTCAGACTGACAGAAGCACACAAGACACAAAGGAAGACCATAGTCATGGGTCAGTTTCCCTACCAGGGAAAGCCAGTGTGAGGCTGAAGATGAGGAAGAGTGAAGGATAGTGATGCCATGGTAAGATGAGCCATTTTGGAAACCAATCTTAGGTGATGAGTAGTACATGAGGGCAAGAGAGTACGATCATAGTCAGGACCTGCTTAAGGAATGGTCTTCTGGTTGGTTACTGGTGGTAATCTGAATATAGGAAAATGCTTTTACAGAGGATGGTCAATGTTTCATCTGACTGGACAGGAAGGCTGTTTTGTGTAGACATGGGCATGGTTAGAAACACTAAAGAGGACAAGGTCAACAGCTCTGAATGGAGAAGTTTAAATATCAGTCTTCTATAATCAATGCATGCACATCACAAAGTGTCACTGTAAATACACAGTGAAATTCCAAAATGTGTAGAAGGAAGCATTTTTTTTTTTTTTATGATTTGCTTATACCATTGCTAACAGATTAGAGTAAGGAAAAGGAAAGCCCATGGTTTGATGTACTAGAGTAGCTGAGACAAATTCAATGAAGAATAAGGGCAGAGAGGTAAAGATACTATAAAGAGGAAATATTATTCACTGAGACAGGCTCTCTCACTAGAACCCAGAGCTAACTGATGCAGCTTGTCTGGTTAGCTAGCTTGCTCTGTGGGGAACTACTGGCTGTCACATCTACCTGGTATCTGCATGGATGGTGGGAATCTGAACTCTGGTCTTCACATACTTGCAAGGCAAGCCATTTCCCCAAACTGTCATTTTTTTGAGAAATGGTCTCACCCTGTGACCCAGGCAGGCCTCAAACTCATGGCTATCCTCCTGCCTAAGCCTCCTGAATGTTAGGGTTACAGGTGTGAGCCACCAACCCTGCTACAGTTCCTTGGAGAATATGGCTATACTCACCCTTTTTTATACTTTTGAATCATCCAATAGGAAACAGTACCGAATAAAATAAAGAACACTATCCCAAATAAAATGCCTAGAAATAAAACAAAATAATTAAGTGCATGAAAAATACAATCTAAGGGTATCTTACCACAGCAACTGAAAGACAGACACAGCAATCATTTATATGCTAGTCCTGTGGTTTTCACAGTACAAATAATCAGGATGACTTTTCAGAAACATATTTCTAAGTATAAAGCAAAGATGGTGTTGCCTCTCCATCACTGTTTAAATAAGAATTGTTGACACTAAAGGATGATTTCTCATTCATAATGATTCAAAGATAGTTAAAAAAAACAAAACAATAAGGAATGATGAGGGCCACTCCTATGGATATGAGTATGTTAATTTTATCACACCCTAAACATATTAATTTTAACTGAACTTATAAGATATTTTGACTTCTTTTTACATATCATTCATTATCAGTAGATACTTATTGTCAAAGATATTAGAATTTCTCAGCAAACCCATAACAGAACTTACCAATTACAAGAGCAGTCTGGGATCCTGAAAAAAGAGACAAAGCCACAGAAATGTTACTGGCACATAATGTAATCAAACAGGTGCTTTAGCCCACATGGTTCATTCCGATTTTAATCCAAGAGTCAATTTACTGCTTTTCTAACATAAAAATCTTTGGTTTCACTTATCTTGTTCACTCGGTGAAGACTTTTTAAATCAATATTTTTCATCATAAAATAGTATCATTAAAAATAATAGTATAATTATAGATTAAAATTTATAAAGCAGAACAAAAGGAAACTAGCACTCATAACCCTAATACTCAAAAAATGTTTACGTACCATCCCATTGGGTACATTTTCCCCATAATTTAAGTTTTCACACAGTGTGCTAGAAATACAAATTACAGTAGAGGCCATGGATACCATCTAACCCACTGATACACCACTGTGTTCAGTGACTTCTTATATATTTAAGTGGCTTCTAGTTTTTGCCTTGAAATTGTTACTAAAATGCATATAATATTTTCATATTTAATACTACTTCATTATTGCATCACCATTTTTGATAAGGGGTTTTCCAAATGAGTAATAGTACTTTCAACATATAACAATATCAGTTTCATCACATCCTTGCTTGTTAATGGTATTCACCTAAAACCCTTTCCGTTGTTAATTTATGGGGAAAAGATGTTTGTTCTTTTCTTAAGCTTTTCTTTAGTTCTAATGAATCAAACAGTTTCCATATATTTATGTGCTAGAGAGGAAACATTTTCACTTATTCTCCCAACTCTGTTAAGAAAGTCTCTGGGGGCTGGAGAGATGGCTCAGTGGGTAAGAGCACTACTGCTCTTACAGATGACGTAGGCTCAATTTCCAGCACCCACATGGCAGCTAACTCCAGTTCCAGGGGATCTGATGTCCTCTTCTAACCTCCGTGGGCATGGCATGATGGTATACTTACACACATGCAGGCAGTACACTTGTATACATAATAATGAATAAAAAATGTTGAAAAAAAGAAAGTCTTGGTACTTCCTGCTCCTTTTCCACAGTGAACTTGCTTTGGACTGTGCAGAGCTGGAGAAATGTCATTTACCTCATAAATGGCATGGGACTTCTGTGAACCAGGCAGATTTAGAAAGTGAGAGGACAGCAGGGCACTTCTGCTTTGGGGTTAGAAAAGAAAAACTGGGTTCTGGAAAAGCTGCTGCTCCAGGACTGGGACCCTCAGGCACAAAGAAGAGAGTGGATTTCAGAACATGATGGAATGTCACACTTTGAGCCTCATGGAGAAATTCCAAAGAATACCTCTCTGAGTTTTCTCATTTTTTTTTTTTTCTTGAGGTGTGCTTACTTATCTTGAATGGAACATGTATTAGTCAGGGTTCTCCAAAGAAACAGAACCGGTAGAATGAATATATATGTATAGAGATTTATCAGCTTAGCTCACAGGATAGAGTCCAAGTAGTCCAACAATGGCTGCACCACACTGGAGAGGCTGAGAATCTGTAGTCGCTCAGTCCACAAGGCTGGATGTCTTAGTAGTCCCAATCAAGATCAGCTAGTCTTCAGTCTACAGCAGCAAGACGAACTCACCAGCGAGAGAGAAGGCAAACAGCAAGAAGCCTAGCATTCTCCTCTGCCATGGCCTTTTATATCGGCTGCCATGAGAAGGTAACACCCACATTTAGGGTATGTCTTCTGGCTTTAGATGATCCAATCAAGAAGATCTTTTATTTCAGTTAATCCCAGATCCAATCAAGTTGACACCCAGGATTAGCCATCACAGAACCCCATGCTTATATGGATTGTAACAAATCATTATGGGTATATGTATTAATTCTGGCTCAAGATTACCCCTTTCCTAAGCAAGTAATCTGACATAAAAGACCACTGAGTTGGGGATGTGGCAAACCTGAGAACTCCAGGGCATTCATTCTCTGGTATTAGCACTCACGGTAAATCTTACTTGCATCGCTTTGAAAACTTCCCATGGTGTGCTATTCCAAGCCTAGAACATCTCCAAGATTTCCTCCGTACTTTCCTTTCTAGGAAGGCCAAGGACTAGTCTCTTGGGTAATCAATTCTAAGTCTTAGGGACAAATACTGTTTCTTTATCTGCTGTTCTTGTCTGTTCCTCCCCCCAACCCCTTTGTCCATGGTATCATTTTTCTTTGTTTCTTCTCCCTACAAAGCAGTAAGATTTCAAGGTTCAAAACCAGATAATAGACAGAGAAGTAAGCACAGAGGGGCTGGCTACTTTTAACAGGGACAAAAAGAATTCACATATGGAGCAAAAAGTTTACTTGTTGGACAAGTTTACTCTCAAATCTCACTTCAAAAACCTGAAGGTTGGTAGATATTCAGTCCCATCTTGTCTCTACCTACTTGAAGAACATGACAAGAGAAATGGATCCTGGATTTGGGTAAATTCTAGAAATATCATTAAAAGATATACGGGGTAGGGATGTAAAAGGGATGTAAAAAATAAGGGCTAGTACAATATATTAATTTGTTCAGATTATCACAGTCCCAGATCATAGTATCTGATGATTAAGGCTATTTTCCTGCTTGTATATGCAGGGTATCCCATCAAAATACCTTCCAAAAGACCTTTATTCAGTGCTAGGAAATGAATTCAATGCTTTGCACATAGTTGGAAAGTACTCAGCCACTGAGCTACACTCCCAGCCTCTCCAAAAGAACCTTATGGCTTGCTGCAGTTAGGAAAGACAGGTCAAACATCCCTTCCAACAGTGACAGTTCCTCAAGTGATTTCACCTTGAAATAACCAACATTCCAACTTGTCATATTCGAGAGAGTACATCCTTAGCTCCTTCACTAGTATGTATCGTAACATCACAGTGGGCACAGGATGGATGAATGACCAAGCAGTGTCCATACCGGGGAGGGACTCCATTCCCTGCCCTTGCACTTACGAGATATACATTTGGCCAGAGGAGGGTTCCAATTGCCATCCATCTGGCACCAGCTATGAGGACTACCATCCAGAGTATACCCATCCTCGCACTCCAAAGTTACATTATCTCCATAGTGATATTCTTCTCTCATTTCCAACTCCTTCCAGATTCCATTCATAAACTGTGGGAGGTTACATCTCACTTCTGAAATTAGAAAAATCACAAGGAAATTAGTATTTTACTAATTGAAATTGCTATGGTAGATCTGTAACCCCAAACTTTCTTTGCCCTTTGCAAAACAGCATATTTTCAGTCAAGAATTACTCTCACCTCCTCCAAACTTCTAAAATTTTAGGAAAACCATGTTTTGACCTTGGAGCCACATGGGCCACACCCCAGGGAGACACCAATTTCATGTTAACTCTCTAGGTCTATAACACATACTGGTGCTTTTGCTCTTGATTAAGTGAATACTTCTGGTCTGTTTTTGTATAGAGAACAAAGAAGTTAGTAACTTGTGATTCAAATTTTAAATGCTACCTTTCTCATTTAACTTACCCTGCGATTTGCTTTTTCTTCCTAGCCATCAATAGCATCTCCAACTTGTAAAGCTTCCTTTTCTGTCCTGTTCTGTCTGAAATCTGCTCAAAGTACTTTTCTCTTTATAGGTATCAAGGTAATTTTGCAAGTGTGGTGTTGATACTACTGTCTTCTACCAGGTAGACCATGGACAGACACCATCTTCCCAAGCTTGGTTGCCAGCACTTGCCTGGGATCATCATAGCTAAGCCTGTTGACTGTTAACTCTCAGCAAGAAAGGAAGAGCAGGGAGAGTCTGCCATACCTCCCAACCAACCAGGGGGCCCTAGTTGCATGAGGGGTAGGGAGAAAGGGTATAGAACCTGAGGAAGCCACAGAGAGCTTGCCATTTTCTGCAGCTGTGGCAAAGTCATGATTCACACCTGGATAGAGACTTTCCACTGCAGCCTTAGGAGGGGAGCACCCACACTCCTGTAAGTAAACCCTCACCCATTGCTTTGTAAGCCCAATAAACTCACTGGTTTTCCAGACTGCGGTTGGGAAAAATTGAATGTTGATTTGTTGTAGAGACCAAAGGAGGGCAGGGCTGGACAATGGTTGTGCCTCCCAGAAGACATTTTAGCTACATGTGGTCAGTGGTTTTCCTACATCAGAATATTCTGATTGATTTGTTAAAAATAAACTTCTGACCTTCTCCAAAGAGAATCAGAGTTGAGATAACAGACTGAGGAAATCTGTCTTTTGAACAACATTCTAGGTGATTTTGCTGGTGCTACATAGACGGAAAGGGCCTGGTGTAAAGCATGCTTGAAGAGGACACTGGTCCCTCTCACTGAAGATAGAAGATGTGGACAAAAAATTTCTAGAAAGAAGATAAAAGCTTTAAGTTCTATTAGTTTCTATCAAAATGACTAATGTGATGGCTATGTCCTGTGACTGGGACATTAGCAGTTTTGGATCTATAAAGTTTTTGCTAAGAAGAAAATGAGGCACGACCGAAGTTAGAATTTACTGAAAAAGCCCAGAAGACAGTATTCCTGGACTATTTAGGGCACTAAATTAAAACAAAAACCAAACAAACAGAAACTTCATTTATTATTTTTATTTTATGTGTACGAGTGTATTGCTTGTATGTATTTAAATGTACCCATGTTGTGTGGTGCCTGTGGATGTCAGAAGAGGGCATCAGAACCCACAGAACTGGAGTTAGGATGGTTGTTAGCTGCCATATGGGTGCTGGGAACTGAACTCGGGTTTTCTGCAAGACTAGCCAGTGTTCTTAACTGCTGAGCCATCTCCCCAGCCCCATAGGGAACTAAATTTTTAATGGATTTAGAAAGTAGTTAATTTTTTTTTTTTAAGCAAAGTCCTGTTTGACAACAATGTTCAGGATAGGTGAAACTTTGCTTGTAGAGACACTAAGTTCTACAGAAAGCTGCGTGCCTGAACTCGGGTTTTCTGCAAGACTAGCCAGTGTTCTTAACTGCTGAGCCATCTCCCCAGCCCCATAGGGAACTAAATTTTTAATGGATTTAGAAAGTAGTTAATTTTTTTTTTTTAAGCAAAGTCCTGTTTGACAACAATGTTCAGGATAGGTGAAACTTTGCTTGTAGAGACACTAAGTTCTACAGAAAGCTGCGTGCCCCATCATCTTTTTTGGGCGGGGCGGGGGTCGGTGGTCTTTTTGAGACTGGGTCTCCCTGTAGCCCCAGCTGGCCTGGAACTCACCATGTAGGCCTGCCTCTGCTTCCCAGAGTGCTGGGATTAAAGGAATGCCTGGCCTCAGCTGTGATAAATACCCAAGAGAAACAGTTGAAAGGAGCAAAGATTTATTTTGACTCACAGTTTCAAAGATTTCACACTGAGGCAGCTGACTCATTTCCAGCCTGTGGCAAGATGAGCATCTAGTCAGAAAGCTGCTGATCTCAACAGAAAGAATCAGACAGCAAGCAGCCAGAGCCAAGAAAGACCTTTAAAGGCTTGGCCTCAGTGAGCTCCTTCCTCTATTGGGCCCTGTTCTCTAGCTTCCACCACCTCCTAGCAGTGTCCTCAAACTGCAAACCCATGAGGGCTCAGCCTCAGGTGATCCAGTTACCTCTCAGTGGTGCTTCCAGGTGGAGAGCAGGCTTTCAACATGTGAGCCTTTTGAGGAAGATAAGGGCTAGTACAATATATTAATTTGTTCAGATTATCACAGTCCCAGATCATAGTATCTGATGATTAAGGCTATTTTCCTGCTTGTATATGCAGGGTATCCCATCAAAATACCTTCCAAAAGACCTTTATTCAGTGCTAGGAAAGATGAATTCAATGCTTTGCACATAGTTGGAAAGTACTCAGCCACTGAGCTACACTCCCAGCCTCTCCAAAAGAACCTTATGGCTTGCTGCAGTTAGGAAAGACAGGTCAAACATCCCTTCCAACAGTGACAGTTCCTCAAGTGATTTCACCTTGAAATAACCAACATTCCAGCTTGTCATATTCGAGAGAGTACATCCTTAGCTCCTTCACTAGTATGTATCGTAACATCACAGTGGGCACAGGATGGATGAATGACCAAGCAGTGTCCATACCGGGGAGGGACTCCATTCCCTGCCCTTGCACTTACGAGATATACATTTGGCCAGAGGAGGGTTCCAATTGCCATCCATCTGGCACCAGCTATGAGGACTACCATCCAGAGTATACCCATCCTCGCACTCCAAAGTTACATTATCTCCATAGTGATATTCTTCTCTCATTTCCAACTCCTTCCAGATTCCATTCATAAACTGTGGGAGGTTACATCTCACTTCTGAAATTAGAAAAATCACAAGGAAATTAGTATTTTACTAATTGAAATTGCTATGGTAGATCTGTAACCCCAAACTTTCTTTGCCCTTTGCAAAACACAGCATATTTTCAGTCAAGAATTACTCTCACCTTCTCCAAACTTCTAAAATTTTAGGAAAACCATGTTTTGGCCTTGGAGCCACATGGGCCATACCCCAGGGAGACACCAATTTCATGTTAACTCTCTAGGTCTATAACACGTACTGGTGCTTTTGCTCTTGATTAAGTGAATACTTCTGGTCTGTTTTTGTATAGAGAACAAAGAAGTTAGTAACTTGTGATTCAAATTTTAAATGCTACCTTTCTCATTTAACTTACCCTGCGATTTGCTTTTTCTTCCTAGCCATCAATAGCATCTCCAACTTGTAAAGCTTCCTTTTCTGTCCTGTTCTGTCTGAAATCTGCTCAAAGTACTTTTCTCTTTATAGGTATCAAGGTAATTTTGCAAGTGTGGTGTTGATACTACTGTCTTCTACCAGGTAGACCATGGACAGACACCATCTTCCCAAGCTTGGTTGCCAGCACTTGCCTGGGATCATCATAGCTAAGCCTGTTGACTGTTAACTCTCAGCAAGAAAGGAAGAGCAGGGAGAGTCTGCCATACCTCCCAACCAACCAGGGGGCCCTAGTTGCATGAGGGGTAGGGAGAAAGGGTATAGAACCTGAGGAAGCCACAGAGAGCTTGCCATTTTCTGCAGCTGTGGCAAAGTCATGATTCACACCTGGATAGAGACTTTCCACTGCAGCCTTAGGAGGGGAGCACCCACACTCCTGTAAGTAAACCCTCACCCATTGCTTTGTAAGCCCAATAAACTCACTGGTTTTCCAGACTGCGGTTGGGAAAAATTGAATGTTGATTTGTTGTAGAGACCAAAGGAGGGCAGGGCTGGACAATGGTTGTGCCTCCCAGAAGACATTTTAGCTACATGTGGTCAGTGGTTTTCCTACATCAGAATATTCTGATTGATTTGTTAAAAATAAACTTCTGACCTTCTCCAAAGAGAATCAGAGTTGAGATAACAGACTGAGGAAATCTGTCTTTTGAACAACATTCTAGGTGATTTTGCTGGTGCTACATAGACGGAAAGGGCCTGGTGTAAAGCATGCTTGAAGAGGACACTGGTCCCTCTCACTGAAGATAGAAGATGTGGACAAAAAATTTCTAGAAAGAAGATAAAAGCTTTAAGTTCTATTAGTTTCTATCAAAATGACTAATGTGATGGCTATGTCCTGTGACTGGGACATTAGCAGTTTTGGATCTATAAAGTTTTTGCTAAGAAGAAAATGAGGCACGACCGAAGTTAGAATTTACTGAAAAAGCCCAGAAGACAGTATTCCTGGACTATTTAGGGCACTAAATTAAAACAAAAACCAAACAAACAGAAACTTCATTTATTATTTTTATTTTATGTGTACGAGTGTATTGCTTGTATGTATTTAAATGCACCCATGTTGTGTGGTGCCCGTGGATGTCAGAAGAGGGCATCAGAACCCACAGAACTGGAGTTAGGATGGTTGTTAGCTGCCATATGGGTGCTGGGAACTGAACTCGGGTTTTCTGCAAGACTAGCCAGTGTTCTTAACTGCTGAGCCATCTCCCCAGCCCCATAGGGAACTAAATTTTTAATGGATTTAGAAAGTAGTTAATTTTTTTTTTTTAAGCAAAGTCCTGTTTGACAACAATGTTCAGGATAGGTGAAACTTTGCTTGTAGAGACACTAAGTTCTACAGAAAGCTGAATGCACCATCATCTTTTTTGGGCGGGGCGGGGGTCGGTGGTCTTTTTGAGACTGGGTCTCCCTGTAGCCCCAGCTGGCCTGGAACTCACCATGTAGACCAGGCTAGCCTCAATCTCACAGAGATATGCCTGCCTCTGCTTTCTGAGTGCTGGGATTAAAGGAGTGTACCACCATGCCCAGCATAGCATCATCTTTAGCAAAATGTTTCTTGGTGGGACAAGGTCATTGTCAGTACCAACTGAATGTGCAACGTGTCATCAGAATACAGTGATAACTTCAGAGTTCTTTATGCCAAATCAGATGGCTCTAGGGAATGAGACCTCTATAAATCAAAACCAAACAAATTTAATCTAACTATATCCCACATTTATCTGACATTTATTGTCAGTTTCATGTGTCTCTGCATTGGCTCTATGCCTGAGTTTGCTGGGTACTGAATATTTTTGTTAAGTTTCAACATTGGGGCTGGAGAAATGGCTCAGCAACTAAAAGCATTGGCTATTCTTCCAGAGGACCTGGGTTCTATTCCCAGCAGGTATATTGTGGCTAACAACCATTCATAATCCTAGTTCCAGGGGATCTGACATCCCCTGCGGGCATTGCATGCACCTGGTGTACTTATGTACATGTAGGCAAAATACTCATACACATAAAGTAAAAATTATAAATATTTTTTTAAAAAAGAATAAAGTTTCATCATAACTTACTATAAGATATCTAAATAGACACCTAGCAATGTACTTTAATAAATCTTATTTGAAACAAACATTTTTCTAATCACCAGGAAAAGGGAAGTAAAAATCAAGTCTTGTTTTGCTTTAGGAAACAGAGCAGCATAAGCCAGTAATGTCTTAAGTAGAAAACATGTACTTTTATCTACTTATAGATTTCTGAATCCTTGGTGTGTCTTTTTTTAAGTGGGTGATTTAGAAATGGTCTTTCCACACATGCAAAGTCCTGGTACACAAGAAACCTTTGTCAGTAAACACCACAGACTAAGGAACAGTCTAATAAAGATTATAACAGTCTTAATTAGCTTAGGTCAGTGAGGGAGATTAAAGAGCAAGAAAATTTAACATTTAAAAGTGATCACTCCCTGATGACAAAACTAATAAAATGAGTAAGTAAAATTTCATATACCTATATGCTATCTAGTTTCTTCCTAAGTATTCCTCCACAAAATTCAACACTAATATATCATATGTTTAAGAATTATGTCACAAACATATGGTATATAAGGTCTCTCTTGAAATACTTCCAACAAATAAATATGTGGATCAATAGTTTAGTAAGAATCCAGACAACAGGAGATTAAAAGAGGTGAAACATATTAGGAGAGAAAATTAGGAAAGCAATCCAGGCTGCAGTTACATTCTATTTACTTTTGCACACAGGAACACTGCTGTTCCAAAGGGTTTTCATTCTGTCTAACATACAATGACTAGAAGAACTGCCTTTTAATCGGAACCTACGGGGGAAGCAAGGATCAATTGGTGAGCAATTTCCATCTTTCCTTTTATCTTTTAACTGATGGATGCTCAGTTTCCTCACTTCAGACTAAGGATTATTTGTTTACTGGAACAGGCCCAGTTAAAAGTTCACTAGGGATCTGAATTCAGTAGTAAGCAGGAACTCAAAGCCCAATTAAGTCTAAAGATGAGCAGTATCTTGCGACATGATTAGTGCTATTGTGCTCAATTGTCATACAGTATCCAGGCCACCACCACCTGTGGGCAGCATTAAACAGACATTCCTAAAGGCCTAAAGGCATAAGAACCAGAACCTTTTGAGTCCCTGTTGCACTCACAGCCAGCTGACCCACCACTAGGTTGGGGCAGAAAGAGAATAAGCATCGTACAATTGGCACTATAATTGCAAAGGCCCAGAAGGAGGCTCACAGAAGCATCTTGAGACAGGAGTTTGGGGTAAAAGGAATGGAGGTGAGGCAGGGAGGGGAGGAGTATTTGCCACCCTGAATGCCCAGCTGGGGAAGGGAAGGGAGGAGAGGGGAGGGAAGGGGAGGGAAGGGAAGGGAAGATGCTGTTTGAGTTAAGCCAGTATGGAGGAGGTCAGCGATATGACAGACAATCAGGCATATACGGAAAGGGGAGCTTTACAGAAACTGTGAAGCCAAAAGTATAAGGAAAAGCATGCCTGGTCTACACAGCAAGTTCCAGGCCAGGTGGGGCTACAGGGAGACTCTTTCAAAGAGATAAATGATAGATGATAGATAATAGATACTTGATGGATAGCTAGATAGGGGAAAAGGAGAAGTTGTGCTTTTCTGAGTAATTCAGAAGTAGGCAGACTTATAAAGCTGTATGTCTACGGCTCTGTAAAAGACTGAAAATTGATTTGTTTTTTTAAAAATGTACTGTCCAGGCTTCCCTGGGCTACACAGCCTCCGGCTTCCTGGTGCCAGCATCTTTCCTGGGTAAGTCCAGCGGCGCCCACCACACCCTGATGCCCCCAGTCTCATTCAACCTCCCAGCTCCCCCACCCCAGGACTCCTGGCCTGAGTACTGGCCCATTTCTTGTCTTGGCACCCCAGACACTGGGGCTGACTCTCAGCCCCAAGTCCCCACTGCTTCCTGATCCTTTGCATCCAGACCAACCCAGTTCCTCCCTGTGGTCCCCAGGAGCCTTCTGGGCCTGGTGCCATCCCCATCTACCTTTGCTTCCCAGGTGGCTCAGCCACCAGCTTCCTGGTGCTAGCATCTTTCCTGGGTAGGTCCCATGGGTTGCCCACTGAGCTTCGACTCCCTCAGCCTCATTCACCCTCCCAGCTCCCCTGCCCCATTTCTCCTCCTAGCCTGGATACTGGCCCATTTCTTGTCGTGGCAGCCCAGACCCCTGGACTGACCTCTTGGCCCAGAATCCCCACTGCTTCCTGATCCTTTACATCCAGACCAACCCAGTTCCTCCCAGTAGTCCCCAGAACCCTCTGGGCCTCTTCCCAGCCCCCCTCCCTTTGCATCCCTGGGTGGCACAGCCACCAGTTTCCTGAGACCAGAATCTTTCCTGGTCCCTGCTCCCAGGCCAGCCCAGCCCCCAAATTCCTGAGGGCAGCATCATTCCTGGAGAGATACAGACCTTAGGAGAAAGCCTGAGAGCATATGATCCTCATCTGACTTGGGTCTCTGTGGGAACTCCTGAAGAAGAAAGCAATTTGGCCACTCCAATATAAAATCAAAAGAGAGAACCTGAAGCCTAGACCAACCAG